GCGGGCGCCCGCACCAGGTTCCTGCGCGGCACCTTTAGCCCTCCAGCCCTGGGCTGCCACGGCTTAGCCCGGATTACACAGCAGTGTCCTTCCCTATTGAATTTTGGCCCACATGCAGCTCATTGAGCTTTCTGGGTGCATGCCCTCTATCCACCCTCTAATTTACCTCGACAAATGCAACCCGCTCCTTCCTAGAAGCCCTTCTGCACTGCCTCGATCCTGTAGCGCGGCTGCTCTCACTGCTCCCCTCCTGAAACGTGCACCCAGACCGGGCTGCTTTCATCTCGGGGTTAGGCACAGAACAGCCTCTGAGCTCGCAGCACAATCTGCGGGGCAAACAGCACTGCCCTTTCTGCAGGAGAAAATCCTCGGGGGCCTAAAACACACACCCCAGCGCTCCAATTGAAGAAATTCCTGGAATTAGCTGGAATCAGACTAAGCTCTGCGCGTTTAGGGCTAGCCAGGTGTCAGCCACAAGGGCTAGCCACTAGCCCCAAGGTGCTAGTGATGAAATTCATCCTCTGGAGGACTGGGAGACACCTTGTCCCTCCAGACCAGGTTGTGGCCACAGGCCAAACCTCTGCACAGCGGGACGGGACGCAGCTGGGACCTTGTCCGAGCCACTTTACTTCCCCCTCATGGCCATCGTGAAGCCCAAGGATTCTATTTAAACCATGTTTCAATTCTCAGCAAACAGAATTCCAAGCCACAATCAATTAAAAAATAAAATCCTCCCAGTCCTGATTGGGTCACATGCAAATAGATCGTCCCAGCAAATCTGCATCTTTTTCAGCCCTCAGTGTTTCAAGGCTCTTGATATTCAGTTCCCCAAGGACTGAACCAAATTCTTCCTCAAAGGTGAGGAAGAGTCATAGGGTCATAAGTAGCCTAAGTTCTTACTGCATAAGCAGCACCTAAAACAGTTTAATTCTTAGGATTTGCATGAGTGCTTTAATCACCATATCAACATTACACTTAAATCCTTCCAAAGGCTTGAATTAGTATAAACCCTTTAGGTGGCTAAGCTCTTCAGATGATGGAAGTCTTGGATGAGAGAGAACCACACAGAACACGGGAGCCCTTCCAGGGGCTCCGAGCGCCAATCCTGCAGCCTTTAGGTGGGCATCATTCACTCAGGGTGAAATTTACCCCTCTGCAGAGAACTAGCACCATTCAAGTCCCATCTAAGTCTTCACAAGTCGGGTGAAGCGGGGATTACGTGCCGCATACCTTCAGCCAGCCCACTGCACAGGGGTGATTTTCATCTTCAGTGTGAGTTTTCCCTAAGCAAATGGAGCAACATTTCACAGTCACTGCTGGTGTCCATTGATCAGAGATAAATAAATGCCTGAAAAAAATTCTGTGGATACACCCAGTTTTTACAATGAAACTGAAGAGGTGAAAGGTCTACAGATGGTATTTTATTGTCATGACGGGATGGAAAACTGAAATTTTAAAGGCAAGTGAAAATGGAAACAACATTTCACATGTGCATGTTATCAGTAACAGAACAGTGCTTGCGTGTTCAGCCAGTCAGGACACCGTGACTTACTGATCCTAATAAAATCAAGCACATCATTAGAAATGTGAATATCAAGGATCACGCACCTCCCGTGAAGTGCAATTCACTCACAAAAGAATAGCTTCATATTAATTGAAAACATTGAAACATTTCCTCCAAGATTATTACCTGCTTCCAGGTTTTCTATAACCAGAACAGAGGTCAGATCTGTCAGGTGAATCATTCACAAAAAGCAATTTGCTCGACTGCTGGCGCACACATCAGCAGCGCGCACTCCTCCAAAGGCACCCACACATACAGACCTCCTGCTGCAACGTGCACACTTTATGTAAGTTCACTGCAATCCTGAGCTTTTCAATCATTCGTAACTGTAACTTCAAAAACATTTTCTGTTTTCAAACTTAGTAAAGCACGTACTTCTCATTAAGGGCTATTTACATGCCACGTTTGAAGTTTCAAAGTTCAGCCGTTTTTGAGCTATCCCTGTGAAAAAAAATGGTCAGAATTTTTTTCAATGGGTAAAAAAATGTATTTCATTCACACTCAAAGAACTCAAAACGGAGAAGGCATTCACACTCAAAGAAGGCAAAACGGAGACAAAAGACAAACATTGAAGTTTTCACCCAAAAGTGAATGTTTGTGGAGTTATGAGGGCAAAAATGGGATCATTACAGAAACTGTTCCACATCCTTAACTACAGTAACTGTTAGCTCAACTGCTGTGACATATTGCACATGCTTATTTTCAATCCGAAAGGCTTTAATTTCTAATGACACTATTTCCAGATTAAAAAACGTGCTGTTTTCTAGTATGGCCACAATACCCTTCGACAGAGCGCCATTTTTCTCCTCCTCCTCAGGAACTACCTCCTTTCTAGAGGAGTCCTGCCCGGGTTATTCCCCCCGAAGGGGAGCAGGGAGCGCGTCGCTCCGCTCGGCCCGTGCCCCGCGGTGACCGGCGCCGC